AAGCGATCACTCTATAGCTGAGTTCTCAGTCCTTCTCTTCAAAGGAAACATACACAACACCTTTAAAGGATGAGCCTGGGTGCTTAAATGTATATGTTTTCTGGATATCAAAAATCATGGACTGAATAGAATAGTGATAGAGATGTAGCCGTGTTAGTCTGGTGCAGCTGAAACAAAATACAGGACTATGTAGCACTTTAAAGACTAACAAGATGGTGTATTAGATGATGAGCTTTCGTGGGCCAGACCCACTTCCTCAGATCAAAAAGTGGGTCTGGCCCAGGAAAGCTCATCATCTAATACACCATCTTGTTAGTCTTTAAAGTGCTACATAGGACTAAATAGAGACACTGAGTTGATTGTTTATTGTAATTCACTTAATACCCCCCCCCCCCCCACTCTTCTTTCTTTTTTGCTCCCCTCTTCTCCTATAATTGGAGATATGTTAACAAGCTAACATACCACTTGACATTTAATGGTCCCTTGAAATGACTTAACTCTGTAAATTAAACAGTCTCTTCCACCTTGTATTTAGCTGTGACAGTGCATTTCACAGGCTACTCTGCCACATTACTGTGCTGCAACTTTCTGGCTCAGGAGGGTGAATAAACACTCTCTGAGTGCAGCAAATTGCAGTGCTGTAAAGAGCTAGTGTAAACCCGGCTGCAGCACTTTGTGGAGGTGGTTTACATGGAGCACTAGGGGTGTATCTAGACTACATGGCTTTGCCGTAAGGAGCAGTTGACAAAGGCTTCCCTTGTTGACCGATCCGCGTCTAGACTCCTGTGCTGTGCCGGATCAGCTGATTGTTGGCACAGAGCGGCAGCCATTTTTATTTTAATGAAGCGGGGATTATTTAAATCCCGGCTTCATTGACTATGTCGGGTAAACCAGTTTACATGGCTCTGTCGGCAGAGCCATGTAGTCTAGACACACCCTGGTAGAGCTCTCTCCCAGCACTCTAGTCATGATCACGCTGCTACATTAAAGCACAGCTGCTACTGTGCTTTAATCTTTGATGTATAGACAAAGCATATCTTTATATTAGCTCAAAAGCTTGTGTCTTTTATTGACACAAATTGATCCAATAAAAGATTTTTACCTCATCCACCTTGTGTCTCTAAGGTAAGTACAAAACCAAAGCCAAGATTATTGAATGATACAAAAAGACTTGTACAAAATGAATGAAAAAGATCAGGAGCTGTGAAGAAAACAGTAAAGGAAGAGCAAAATTTTACTTCTGCTAGTGTGGTGGCAATAATTGATTAACTTCAATCCAGTTTGGCCAAAGCTTTGAATTTTACATGTTTATTACTTTCTTTATTGAACCACAGAGAGCTAGTAAACGAGTATCAAAAAGTATGTATTAAAAAAAATGAAAAAGCTTTTTAAAAAGACTATCTTTCTAAAAGCACACCAAAAGAGTAAAAATAAATTCTTCACATACCAATTTAGGAGAAAGATTGGATGGCTAAGTACGATTCAAGGTAGTTGCTAACTGTTGGCCATCCAATCTTTCTCCTAAATTGGTAGTTGAAAAATTTATTTTTTCTCTTTTTTGGTGTGCTTTTAGAAAGACTGTTTTTTAAAAAACGATTTAAAAAAAATTTTTTTTTGTCTTTTTGTTCTTTCCCCTCCACAGTGTGGAATTGCAGCATTCCCACGCGTGCGTGCGCACACACACACACACTCTGGGGATGCTGCTCTCCCTCCTCGGCTCTGGGGCTGCTACCCTCCCTCTCCCTCTGGTGCTGGGGCTGCCGCCCCCCCCCCCCCCAGCCTGCCAGGGGGGCCAGGAGCTAGATCTGGCGGAGGCAGCCTGCCACGTTGGTGGCCTACAGGAGGGCTGGGGGCCACGCAGGGCAGCCTGCTGCGTCAGCCACATCGGAAGCCAGGCAGCATAGCACACCTGCGCATGCCTGCCTATTTGAGGGTAAATCCTTTTGGACTAAGCAAGGTGATTCCTATTCTTATGTGCAAGAGAAATGGGCAGAACAGACTGTCATATTGTTCTCGTATAGAACTGGTTTTCAAACTCTTTTTCATGACCAAGTTGAAGAAAATGGTTGATGCCCAGGACCCAACATAATTTGACTAAAGTGTGGGCTCTGGGCTGGGGATGAGGATGAGAGCTTCAGGTATGGGGATGGGACAGGAGGGCCTTACCTCAAGCAGCTCCAGGTCAGCGATGCAGTGGGGGTGCTGAGCCAGGCTTCTTGCCTGTTCTACCACTGCAGACCATGCTACATCCCAGAAGCAGCCAGCATCAGATTCTTGGCACCAGCCAATGGGAGTGCAGAGCTAGTGCTGAGGGCAGGAGCAGTGCACAGAGCCTTATGTGCTTTTCTGCTCCCCACCCTTGCTTAGGATTCAGGCTTGCTGCTGGCTGCTTCTGGGTCACAGTGAAGTCTTCAGTGCCTGGACAGGCAGTATCCTGCCTTAGTACCCCCATTGATCACCCTGCAGCAATGAGACCCAGTGCCTGACATTCCGCACCCCAGTACTGGGTTGCGACCTGTAGTTTGAAAATCACTGTCCTATAGGATTCATGGAAGATAAGTGCTTAATCCTACCCTTTCAACATAAAATAAACCAAATACAAGCACAGCACTTTGCTGTTTACAGAGTAAAAGAGAGCATAAATGTGTCTCCACACCTAGTAACCTCATTCACAGCTGGGAAGAAGACACGATGGCATGCTTCCTTTGCCAAAATGATTCACCATCCTCAGTTATATCATAATTCTCTCCCACACAGTAAATACACATGAAGAGTGTTGATTTGACTTGGAATATCTACAAGGCACAAATTCTGGCAGTGGAAGAAAGTATTATACATTTCTAAATTACCTAATCAAGTAAATATTCAATTTTTTAAAACACTTGTTAGTTTTTTAAATAAAGACACTGCTCCATTAGGATTGGAAACCCTATGATTTCTACCAGGAAAACAAATATTTGAGCTGCTGTGGTTTGACATAGGAAGCTAACATTCTTCACTAAATGTATTTACTTTACTTTGTATCTGTTTTGTCTAGACTTGTGATGTATTATTGGGAGTGTGTTGAAATCTCTTAAATTTAAAATTTTAGGCACCCTGGAAGTCAATGTAACAGTAAGACTCAAAAGACTATGTAGAGCATTTTACATAAAATCTTATGAACTCTCATTTTATAGCCTGGTGCATATGTAAGGAATCTACATGTCCACACAGTTTGAACTTGCATTTTTAATCAGTATCGTTTGCAACATAATATCATCCCCGTATAATTATACAATTGATTTTAAAGAGAAAAGAGCTTTTGCTGGGGCAGGACCTTTAGATTTCACCTTCTATTGTGAAAATATCAATGTTTCATAGAGTAGAAACTCATAGTTATGAACTTCTCGGGAATGAAGGGTTGTAACTCTGAAATGTTTGTAAACAAAACATGGCTGTTTCAAAAGTTTACACATGAACATTGACTTAATACAGCTTTGAAACTTTACTAAGCAGAAAAAAACATTGCTCTCTCTTTATTTTTTAGTAGTTTACATTTAACACAATATTGTATTTGCTTTGGAGACGGAGAGGGTGGGGAGGGGGAAGAGGCGGGCCTTGCTACAGCCTCATTGCTAGGCCCCTACCAAATTCACAGCCATGAAAAATGCCTCACAGATCATGAAATCTTGTCTTTTATGTGTTTTCACACTATACTATATAGATTTCATGGGGGAGACCAGCATTTTGCAAATTGGGGGGCCTGCCCAAAAGGGAGTTGCGGGGGTCATAAGCAGTGTTCCCTGTAAGCTGTGCACTTGTGGGGCCACTCAGGAGAGATTTAAATGCTGCCCAGCTGATTAGCAGCGTGCCTACAGCTAGTTTTTTTGTTTCTACTAGATGTGCGCATTCTCATATTCCTTGGTGCATGTGAAAAAGTATTCTGCACATGGATGGAAAAGATTAGAGGAAACATTGGTCCCAAGGTTATTTAGTGGTATTGTGATATTTCTACCCTTACTTCTGCACTGTCTTCAGAGCTGGGTGGCTGAAGAGCAGTGGCTGTTATCTAGGAACCTAGCTCTGAAGGCAGCACCCTACCACCGGCAACAGAGAAGTAAGGTGTCACAGTATCCTACCATGCCACCCTTACTTCTGCACTGCTGCATTCAGAGCTGGGCAACTAAAGTGTGGTGGCTGCTGACTGAAAGCCCAGCTCTGCAGGCAGCAGCACTTAAGTAAAAGTGACAATACCATACTATGCCATCCTTACTTCTGTTGGCAGGGCTCTGCCAACAGCAGCACAGAAGTAAGGGTAGCAATATCAAGAACTTCATTTCTACAATAACCTTGTGACACTCTGCCCCACATACACACACTCCTTTTTGTATCAGGACCTATACAATTACAGTACCATGAAATTTCAGATTTAAATAGGAAAAAATGACATTTATTATTTTTAAAATCCTATGGTCATGAAATTGAACAAAATGGCCCAGGAATATAGTAGATCCCCACTGATTAGAAACTTCCGGTTCCAAATGAGGTTGGACTAATCAGTTTGTAGTTCTGAGATTACACTGTGTAACAATATAAGATTGTTGCACAGAGTGGCTCCTAAATTATGGTTCAGAGTAAGTGTCAAGTGGGCTACTAATTATGAAATAACACGTTTTTGTTTCCATCCCCTAGTTAATTGTGGAGGGAGAGTGTTTGAATATAGAAAGAGAAAATAATAATGTACTTACTTTTTTGTCTCCTAAAAATTTACATTTTCACATCTGGTTTTGCTTTCTAAAGTATTCAGTACTCACAACTCCCTTCAACTTGGGTAAGATTTGTAGATGTTTAACACCTTTCAGTATCAAGCCTTCTATCAATACTTTTGTGTTCAAAAGATGAAGTATAGATGCTAGATCTCATCTGATTCTGGCCACCTCTCTGCTTAACAGTTGTCAGCAGCCAAGGCTGGAAATTAATGTTTTTACAAACAGAAATAATTGTTTTTCTTTTTTGATTAGGGTTTGGGATTTAGAAGGAAATCAGAAGGCTTGTTTTGTTCTATGTTCACCTGGAATGAGTGTGTGCTGGCATCCTGAAGAGGCTTTTAAGGTTCGTCTTTGCAGCTTATTTTTCTTAAACCGGTATGTAAATGTGTGTTGTTTTTCTAAATTATAATATTTTGAAGCTACAGTAAAACTCCAGTGGTCCGGTATCCAATGGTCCGGCACTCCTGATGGTCCAGCACCATCTGGAACCCGGAAATGCTCCAGGAAGCCAGACAATTGGAGCTGCTCTGCCCCCGGCTTTCCCGATTCAGCCGCTGCTGAAACTGACCAGCAGCTGACTCGGGGAAACCCGGGGCAGAGACGTTGGGATGCTGCCGGGTTAGCCCAACCCCGCCCTAGACTCCTCATAGGCCCCGCAGCGCCGAGGGGCGCATCCCCCCACTCTACCCCTGATAGCCCCCCCCTTCTGATAGTCCGGCATATCTGATAATCTGGCACCCCCTGGGTCCTAAAGGTGCCAGTTTATCGGAAGTTTACTGTATATAACCGGATTTCATTGTAGTAGCACATTCTGTATTCTTCTTTATCAGCAGATTCTATAATTTCATTGGTGGGTCTTCAAGTAGTGTCCCTGTGTGTGCTCCATTATAGGGCTATGTCTACCCTGCTCCCGTTTTGCGCAAAAAAAAAAAAATGCACATGAGGCAAAGTGTGGAATATCGCTGTGCCTCATTTGCATAATGAATGAGGCTCCATTTTTGCGCAAGAGACTTTTGTGCAAAAAACCCCTTCTGGCGTAAGAGCCGTTTTTTCGCTTTTTTTTCAGGAAGAACAGCTCTTGTGCAAGAGAGGTGTTTTGCGCATAAAACGGAGCCTCATTAATTATGCAAACGAGGCATGGCGATATTTCATGCTTCACCTCATTTGCATATTTTTGGCACAAAACGGGGGCAGTGTAGACATAGCCTAGGAATGCCTGCCTTCCTATGCTGCTGCTGATCACAGAACTTTGGCGGCACTGACTGTCAGAATGGGTGGAAGCTTCCTAAAAGAGTGGGTAGGAGGGCCCCTGGTGCCCAAACTATAGCCCATGCCTTCTCATGCCATCTCTTCTTCCTGAGGCTCTGCCCCATGCTTGCTCTTCTCTGCCCCTTCACATCCAAGCTTCCCCTTACAGACAGTAAAAAGTGATTGGGGGGGGTCATGGCTCCAGGCATCCCTTTTTCCAATGTGTCTCATGTCCATTTACCCCACATATGCACTGCTCCCTGCCTGCTAGAAGGCTAGCTAGTGTGCATGAGGCTAGTTGAGTGATCCCTCATCACTTCCTTTTCCAATAGCTCCTAGATAGAGATGGAGCTGTAGCTGTCTGTTCCCAGATCGTTGTCCCCGGAGGAGGCGCGTGCCAAGGCTTACCTCCTCTGCGGGGGGAGAGGGGAGAACCTGGAGGAGGCACGCGCTGGGGCTTTCTCTCCTCTGCAGGGGGAGGGGGAGTTGTCCCCGGAGGAGTCCCAGCAGGAGGTAGGTGTGGGGGACGCCGTGTCCCCGCTGGCACCCTGTCCCCTACCCCCGCTGGCACCCTTCCCCAGTACCATGTCGCCTGCTCCCACCAGCACAGTTGGGGCCACATTAGTGATGCTTGGGGGGTTTTTGGAGGAGTTATTGCATCTCACTTGTGTGGCCCCAACTGACTTTTCTGTGGGTCAGTAACCCTGATTCAAAACAGGTTCCCTGCCCTTCTTATAAATAAAGATAGTGCAGAAACTTTTTGTGTTTGATATAGTATTTTATTTAAAAATGAAGCCTGGCCAACAAGCCCCCAATTGGGGCCAAACCCCCATCTGGCTGCAGCATCATAACACTCCTGCACCCTCCCCCCCC